CTTGATTTCGATCGTTCAGGTTGTATGGCAGCTATATGCAATAGTGTTCTGATCTGAATAATTTCTTCGGGGAATGTATTGGTGCCTTAAGCAATAACTAGTGCCTAGTTTCGTGAAAATACCTCGTCAAATAAAAAATTTTCCCATATAAGCACTTGATTCCGATCGTTCAGTTTATATGGCAGCTATATGCTTTAGTGGTCCGATATCGGCCGTTTCGAAAAATGAGCAGCTCCTTAGTAAGGAAAGAACAGGTGCATTTTAGATCGAGAGCTTGAAAACTGAGAAACTATGTATTTTATTTGAGAATTGAGAAACGAAAGCAAACAAAATAGGATTGAGAGTATCTTCTGTATACTCCAAAATTGAAATTTCTAAGTTTAATGTTTGAATATATCAGTACTTGTACATATACATATGTATATATGATTTGTTCGTTGCCTTTGTGTAGTGCTTTAACTCGTTTTTATGCTCTCCTTTGAGTTACAACTTTTAGTCCTTTCCAAGACATCTTATAAGAAACAAGTAAGGAAGGGCTAAGTTCGGATGTAACCGAACATTTTATACTCTCGCAAAGTCAAATGGTATACTCATTTGAGATTTCTTTGTGGATTGACTGATATTCTCGGTAGAAGGTCAACTATAGGCACTGGGGTCCACATATTTAGTACTTAGGGGCTTAAATAGTTTTGGTTCGATTTAGACAATTTTTGGTCAGAAGGTGGCATACTTTAAACGTATTATTCACGCAAAGTTTTACCCCGATATAATCATTGTTGCTTGATATGCATAGTGGAAAGTGAAAGAATTAGATGGAATGGAAAATGGTGTTATATTGGAAATTGGCGTGGTTGTAGTCCGATTTCGCCCATTTTCGCACTATAACATAGAAATATGGAAAGAACGTTATGTACCGAATTTGGTTGAAATCGGTTAAGCAGATCCCAAGATATTGGTTTTCACCTAAAAGTGGGCGGTGCCACGCCCACTAACTAATTTTGAACGCGGTTCCTATAAAGTCATCTCATACCATCCCAGAGATAAAATGTATTGTCTCTGGCGTGTTTAGTGCTTGGTTTATCACGCTTTTAGTATTTTTTAACAGTACCGTTATATGGGGAGTGGGCGGGCTTGTCATCCATTTTCACACCGTTAATAGAGGTTCTAAAAACATTTGCTTGCAGTGAATTTTGTTATTATAGCATTAGCGGTTTAGGAGATATGCACATTAAACCTAATAGGGCCGGGACCACACCCACTTTAAAAAAAAATTTAACTGCAGATGCCCCTCCCTAATGTAATCCTGTGTACCAAATAACAGTCTTGTATCTTATTGCGGAGCTTAGTTATGGCAAGTTATTTGTTTTTGATTAATGGCGTTTTGTGGGCGTGGCAGTGGTCCGATTACGCCCATCTGCAATACCAACCGTTTCACGGTACCAAGAAACATGTCTACCAAGTTTCATAAAGATATCTAAATTTTTACTCAAGTTACAGCTTGCACGGACGGACGGACAGACAGTCACCCGGATTTCAACTCGTCTCTTCATCCTGATCATTTATATATACATAACCCTATATCTAACTCGATTAGTTTTAGGTGATACAAACAACCGTTAGGTGAACAAAACTATTATACTCTGTAGCAACAGGTTGCGAGAGTATAAAAATATATTTAAGAACTGCACATGTTTGTTGTCTGGCTTCTGGCCCGCTTGGAATGGCTCTCCATTGTAATAGTTTTTTTAAATCCTAAGAGTTTCAACGAAAATATTTATATTGAACTGAATGAAGGTAATTTCAATAGATTTGACTTACCTTAATATTTTACATAGTTATTCCTACCCAAATATATTGACATATGTATATGGGTATGTGTATGTACTTATACATATATTTCTCATTACATATTTTCTTATGTTGTCTTTAGACTTCGATGAAGTGCAGTATAACTTAACAATAACAAAGGCACACACTTATACTCCATACTTTCGACAAAGTGTTTTAATAATAATACAGAAGCCAATTGAGACACCAACATGGAACAATAATAAATTTCAATTATCCTTTTATGCTTGTGTTTCTGCCGAAAATTACGTCTTAATAACTACATACGTATATTTGGGTGTGTACTTCAAATATACATAGAAATACATACATACCTGCGCAACATAGGTATATATTCCTAAACCTGTTTCAGGTTCCACTGGAAATGCATGAAAGACCATTCAGGGTAACACCAAATAAATATTTTAGATTACCATATACTATTTGTAACAGCTCGAATAGTATGTTCGTCTAGCAAGACTTTAAAGACCGAGATTTGCTCATACCATAACAAAGAAGGACATTTTGTAAATCCTTTTATAGCCTTTTAAAGGCGAAATTACTACTTTTAGCAGAATTAATGGACAAAAGCTTTATATAATATGTCACATAATACCTAAAATTCGCAGTCGTATTATTGAATATCAATTTTGTTATGTTTCAGCTTTTATTCATAGACTGACTAGATATATATACATATAGGTACATACATACAGTGGGTTATTAAACTGTTTCAATCCAATGGGCCAAGCACGATTCCCTACTGCAACGAGGCGTATCATAAATAGCCCTAAGTTGTAATTGGCCTACTAATGCCAACAACAAATGTGCTCCAACAACGCCGTCGACGAGGATAAACTGGTGCAGAGAGGCGGAAGGGGCGGTGACATTGCCAGCATTTAATTTGAATTATTAAGGTTCGAATGCATATTTCACTGCAATAAAACACATACACAGATAGGAATTAATACTATTCACTTTACGCCTTTTAACTGCTAAGTCCTTTCCTTAATGTGATTATCTCACTCGCCTCCACAAATTCCATACAAAGAAATATGAGAGTGTGTGCCTAGATAGACACAGGATCGTGTTTATGAATACATTGGAATTAAATAAAGCCGGTTATAGGTATATAAGTATAAACTTACAGGCATCCATATTTTTCGTGTTTCAATTAAATTCCCAACACATTATAGCTATGGGCTGTTTGGCCCCCGTCCTCACAGGCATTATAGGCATATGCAAATTATGTGACTTCGAACCATTTTTAGCATTCATTTGGGAATTTTCACAGTTATACTCGTATATGTTTGTATGTACATAAATATGTATGCTCATTCAAATAAATTGTCCAGGCTAGTTTTGCATTTGCTGCGGCTGGTTGGTAATTGAAATATATGAGCGTAATTATCATTTGGCATGAAAATTTATGTCCACCATTCATATGTTCGTAACTCCATATTGACCCATCCTTTTCTTATTCACACAAGTGGAATGTGGGTTGCATAGAAACCAACCGGGTTATAAACCTATTTGCTTAGTACTGGAAGACATTTTAAATTCTATACAAAGTTATGAATAGAAGTAATATTTGTGCTTCCATTTATATTTGAAGCATTATCAGAGAGTCGAATCGTTTTTTTCACTTAACCGTTGTTTGTAATACCTAAAAATAGTCGAGATAGATATAGGGTTATATATGTATAAAAATGATCAAAATAACAAAAAGATTTGGATTCCTAGCGACTGTCTCTCCGTTCGTCGGTCCGTCCGTGCAAGCGATAGCTTAAGTAAAATCTGAGATATCTTGACGAAACTTGGCACATATTTCTTTACACCCAAGGAAGATTGGTACTATATTTGGGCTGAATTGGATTATTGCCATGCCCACTAGGTCACAAAGTAAGACAGAAAACTGTAATTTGGTACAGAGCATCGTGATTGAATGGGAATATGTGGCTTAAAACTTTTTAAAAAGTGCGGTGATGTTGCCCCGAATAGGCTTAAAGTCTGACAAACCACTGAGGCTAAATCTACAAAACCTGCTCAGCACAATTATATCTAACTCATCCTCATATACTGTGAAAATGGGAGAAACCAGATGATAACCGCGCTCATCGCCACATATAACGGTGATGTACAAGGTGCGTTCCAAAGTAAACAGTAAAAAAGTAACAAAGTAAACTCTAGTGGTGCCATATACTTGTGTCGACTAGTGCGTTAGAATCTGCTATCCTTTATCGACTTCCAGTAAAAATTTCATGACATTTCATCTATTGGAAGTGAAGTTATTGTGTGTTAAGTGTCAGTATGTTTTTGTCATCGGTGCGAAAATGAGCTTCTAACAAAGAGCCAACATTAAATTTTTTTTTTTAAATTGGTAAAACTTTTACCGAAACGTTTTAATTGATGAAACAAGTTTATGGCGATGATTGCCTATCCCGTAGCAGAGTGCACGAGTGGCTTCAACGTTTTCAAAGTGGTCGTGAGGACATAAATGAGAAATGAGCCAAAACACATAAAATCGCGCCTGGAGAAGTCAAAAGTGAAGACAATGCTGATTTGTTTTTATGATTCCAAGGGTATTGTCTACAAAAAATTTGTTCCACCCGGCCATAACGTTAATACGGTATTCTACCTTGGAGTTTTGAAGCATTTGGTGCGCCGTATTCGACGTGTTCGGTCCGAATATCGCGAAGATGGAAGTTGGAAAGCGTTATGCAGACGTGGAGGCCATTCAAAAGGCTTGCACCGGCATACTGGCGGCCATACCGGGCAACGAGATAAAACACGCGTTCAACATGCTTTTGGACCGTGCAAAAAGCTGTATTAAAGCAGAAGGAGACTATTTTGAATAAAATTAATTGATTTTGCCGATTAAAAGTCCTGTTTACTTTGGAAAGCGCCTTGTATAATAATGTATGTTCGACTTTATACCGAAAATATTGGTCAATCTTCGAGATATTTTGGAACTTCCATTTTTGTCAATTTCGTTTTGGCGGCTTTGCATAGTTTTCAGAATTTCGATTCATTGCTATCATATTGTTCTCAGAAGGCGATTGTTAGAAAAAAAGAAGAAAATTTAATTAATAAATGAAGAAGAAATATACAGTTGAAAATTATTAAAAATTTTGCCCAAAAGATACAAATTTATGTTCTTTCCACGATTCTAGGCTTTCCTGGTGATGGTGATGAGGATAGTAATGCTGCGAAACGGAGACGATCTCGAACTAACTTTAATTCGTGGCAACTGGAGGAGCTGGAGCGTGCGTTCTCTGCCAGCCACTATCCCGATATTTTCATGCGTGAAGCACTGGCTATGAGACTGGACTTGAAGGAGAGCAGAGTTGCGGTGAGTTCTAGCTACTACTACTAGCAAATTATTTGAGGAGCGAGTGTGAAAAAAACTCTACCGAATCAATTCGTTTTAAATTTGATTAAATCGAGTCTAATCAAAGATGTATTCTGAAATTCGAGTACCCATTGAATAACAACCCAAAAATTATTTTACCAGGGTTAAAGGGAGAGGCCAAAAGTACACAAAGACTTTTTGTTGTCCTGTTGCTTTCTCGGTAGAACAGAACAGATACAGACACATCACAATGAGTCCTGCACCAATATGTACTCATACATACGTACATGTTAAAAATATAAAAAGTCCATCATTATTGTATTTAAAATTTCTGAAATGAAACACTTTGTTCCAGATAGGTATGGTTCCAGAACCGAAGGGCAAAAGTGCGAAAACGCGAACACACCAAAAAAGGACCGGGACGACCTGCACATAACGCTCAACCTCAAACCTGCTCCGGAGAACCAATTCCGCCAAGTGAATTGAAAGCCAAAGAAAGGTAATTTAAAAGAATTTCTTATTAAACGACATTGCAAACTTACCAACAACTGCAACAACGCATGTCTCTAAATTTTTAGGGCTCGACGAAGAAAAAAGTTGGCGAAAGCGATTGATCGACAAGCGAGAAAGTTGCAGGCCAAAGGCATCACGGTCGACCTCGAAGCTCTTAAGGCCGAATACATATCACAACATAAAGCCAATGGCACCTTCTCCGACTCAGATCTGGAAGACGATGGCATACAAATAGACGTAGTGGGCGGTACGGACAGTGACGACGATGGAGATGACTGCTCATTTCGAAGCCCTAGAGCAAATAGCTTAATGCCAGGCAGCTTCTCACCAAACAGTAGTCAAAATGGCATAGAGAGTCCAGTATCCAATGGAGAACGCAACACTGAGGATGACAGCAATGCCACAGATAGTTGTGGAAAGACATCGTTCATTTTTCCTACAGCAAGTACAGCCATGTCGAATTTGCGATTAAACCTGACAAATTCCAATACACCCGCCCATGAATATCAGCAACAACACCAGCAAAATCAGCAAAATCAAATTCATCAAAATCACAACAGTAATCAGCATCAAACATCGCCGATTAGCATCCGGCGGAACAATCCATTTAGCATAGAGTCACTTCTGTTCAACAACACGTGAGATTTATTGAGATGGTTAAATGGTTGAATGCAAAGGCAAACAAGTTGTACGCTTTCTCGCAAGCCATTGCTTGTGCCCACTTTACCCATCCACAGCAGATACGCGTTAACACAGTCACATGCAGGGAGTATATCAGCCACTGTATAGTGTATGTACCATATAAATAAGCGACTAAATATTAAGTATGTATGTATAGCATTAGTGAATAGTTAAAGAATGTACCATGGATGAACTGAAGTAATTAACGGAATTGTTTAGCAGCTAAGCGAGTACGTACATATGTATGTACGACTGTATGCACCAGCACTTATATACAGAAATACCCACAGTAAATAATGATAATGCATCCAGAACCAATTGCGCAATATTAATATAATTAATGTACCATAGTGAGTATTCATTTACATATTTTTCATGAAAATTATGCGGAGTGTACAGTGTCTATTTAAAAATATTTCAAAATATGTGGAATTCTTTGATTTGTATTTCTATCTTTTCCAACTGTATATAGATTAACTTATGCCAAAGTATAATTATTTCACTTCTAACATACATAAGTATGTACACGCATTTTCTTTCTGTGGCAGAAGCTGTGGCTAATTCAAGTCGCACTCGCCAACTAGTTGCCAACTTTTCAACAGAATAATCGACATGTATTGTTCCTCTTCATGTTGGAGTTAGCCATTTCGTGACAATAACTTATAAAAAAAACCAGGCCTCTTGGAACTGGCTCTGGAAATGTTGTTCCGATAGGACCTAATTATTGGTCAATTTGCCGTAAATTTAAAAGCTTTTTCCACAAGTTTAATCTTTTTTTTTATAAAAAAATATGCGGAAATATGATTATGCGCTACTTTTGTCTAGTTTGTTATGCTCTTAAATGAATTTCGAACCGATGTGAAAAGATCGCAACAAAGCAATGGCTGATTTGCGAACAATTTTATCTCATTAGATAATTACTTCGCTAATTTCTAGTTGCCTACACTTATATATAGTTATTTGATTACAAATTTTTAGTTAAATACCATTGTATGAGTAGTTTACAAGTACGAGTATGCAATTATATGTGTGAACAGGGCTTTGAATATTATAGAAATCTAGCTTTAAGTGCAATACAAATATGCATACATACATATGTATGTATTTTAGTGTAGTATTACAAAGGCATATTTTTATGTTTATGTACATATTTATGTATGTTTAAGTTAATGTCTGACGCTTTAATACCTCTTTAGCATTTTAATATTTTGTTTAAAAATATATCGCTTTTGTGTTCTCCTTGAAACTGAATCAGTTTTATATACTTGCTATAATTATTATTGTAAAATAATTTCAATTTAGTTTAAAGAAAATATGAATAAATAATATGTTCCATTAAATGAAGAAATATCATCTAACTATTTACAAGTAAAATCAAATTGTTTATATATGCGACTAAATCACAGGTAAGTTGTTTGATTTCTGAAGACTGATTTCCGTGTGTCTATCTGTTCGTACGATAAATATGATGGTTATTAAGATAGGTTGATTCAACTTTTTTGGAAACGGTGTTACAAATCACATAGTTCTACACTCTAATTATTTATTGTAAATAACAAGTGCCCAAGCTATACAAAATAGATTTGGTGGGAACATCTTAATTTGTGGCTTAGTTGCGGCAGTTTATAGATTTTAGATTAATGGCGTTTTGTGAGCGTGGCAGTGGGTCGATTATGCCCATCTACGAACTTGTCCTAATTTTTTTGCCAAGGAACACGTGTGCCAAGTTTCATTAAAATATCTAAATTTTTACTCTATTTATCGCTTACCCAGACGGATGAACAGACAGTCACTCGGATTTCAACTCGTTTCATCATCATGATCATTTATATACAATCCTATATCTAACTCTAAAACTATTATACTCTTTAGCAACATGCTGCAAGAGTCTAATGAGATAGCGTGTTTGACTCATAACAGTGTATCTTTGTGCCTAAAGGGGATAAAAGTATCGAAAACTTGACATAGGACCCATATAACTAATATCAGGATTTTCGAACATTTAGCAGACTTTATTCCATATGATTGATGATGGTGTTTGAGGTACCTGAATGAAACCCTGGTAGTATTTTATTAGTCTGTGGCATGTTAATAGAATGTGGTATTGGCAAAAATTAATTAAATCGAGTCAATACTACCAACTCCCATATCCTACTTACAGTGATTTTCGTTATACCAACAAGGTTTATGCCGAATATGTCGCTCAGTGAGTATTATTTAAATATTAGATTATTATACCTGAGAAATGTTAATATTAACACAATCAGCCCCGCCCCTTTCTCTGTCCCCAATATACCCCTTAAAATATTATATTTCCGTCTTTCCACCTGCATTTAAACCGTTCAGATTGGTCAAAATGTGATATATTTTAATGAAACTAAATAAACAAGTTTTCTTAAAAATGATGTATTTTAGCGCTGAACTAAAATGGAATCAAAATCATATCCCTAATATAAGGAATGTCGATCCTCTGGTTGACGTTTTCCACATCAATATATATATTTAATTTAGCCTCTTCGGTTGAGTTTATGTCACATATTTTTCATTTAAGGATGATTTTGTTGATGCGATTAAAATATAGTAGTAAAACTAGGTGACCTTCAAAATAAGTTAATATGATACCAAATTTGATTGTAATCCATTTACAATTTCGTCGAAGTTGAACACTTTCTTTATATTTTGTAATATAAAGTTTTGCGAACACCTGAAACAAAAATTTCCGGGCTTTGATTCTTGCAAGTTGCAAGAGTGTGAAAGTTCAGTTATACCCGAATTTAGTTTTTTCTTACTTGTTTAATTCTAAAATTGTTGTCTTTTTGGCTAAAACTGTAATAGGTTCATGTTTCGAAAACTAGAGCTGCTAGAGAAAAACTGACTACAGATTTGAAATCAGCGTGGAAAAGTCATACAGAATCGGGTAAGAAACTTCTTAAAACAAAACTACTGTTTTCCAGTGTTCCGAACATGATTTGGAAAGCTTTATCCTTTGGCGTCTTTTTTCAGTTTTTAAAGCGTATACAACAATAACTTTTTTACTCAAATATGCCGAACTTTGTACCTGAAAAGGTGTTTTGTGGGGAGTTCAATACTTTATTAAGAAGAAAATCTCAGCTGAAAGTCATCGTATGTTGGTGGAAGTTTATGATGAACATCTAGCTGAGCGAACGTGCCAATGGCTCCCATATTATCTATTACGACAACCCTAAATGCAAGAAAACATATGTGAAATTTGGTCAACCCGCTAATTCAACGGCAAAGCCGAATATATATGACGCCAAGGGAATGCTTCAAAAATTGGCTCGATTTTTTCTGGGCAGACGCAGTTCTTTTGAAAAGGAAACCCACAAATTGCCAGAAATATGAGAAAATATTAGATGGGTAATAATTTGAATAATACTTTTGTTCATGTTTTTTCAAATTAAAATAAAGGCACGAATAGACCCATATATATAAAAGCCAGTAATTTAATTATTATTTCTTCATTATTCATTTGTTATCCACATATATCCATTATCATATTTAAATTGTAATACGAAGTAAAATGTTATGTCCCTAGGGCCATATTTAAAGAAAGGTATAACAACGCGAAATACGCCGATTGGCTTATTTATTTATATTCCGAGGCGAGTTTTAACTTTCGTTGCACCGAAGCTATAACACCCATCACAAATAAAAAAATTTTCAATACAACAACTTTATTTTGATCGTTCAGTTTGTATGGCAGCTATATGCTGTATATAGAAACGATTGGGCATAACATTTTTTGAATTTCCTAAAAGTCAGAAAAGCTAAGGGCTTAACGTTTGTTATAGCATAACATAAAAGAAGCATCCACATATACTTTCTAACTACAATATATTAATTGCCAACCCAAACATTTATAAGTGAGCCGTGCATAGAAAAACGTAAGCCAACCGCCTGGAAACAGAATATTTTGATTCGTCCGGTTAATTTGTAATGAATAAAAGTGCAATTAGTGAAATAACTAAAAAAATTATGTGGAAACTCACCGTAATAGTAGTTTTTTAGGGAATTAAACTTCAAAAGTCTAAAAGTAGTCGAGTAGTCTGAAAATAAATTTGCTGCAAATAAAGGGTAAATTATGTATCTAAATGCTATTATTTTCCTTTTTATTATGTAAATATGTTTGTGGTTTTCCAAACTAATTACTTTATTAATTATACTCGTTTCTACGAAACGTTTTTAATAACACCTTTATGTCAGCACCCACTGTTACAACTAACCTACCTGGTGCCCTGAAGAACATGTGTAATGTTTAACTTAATCATTATTTTTCGAAATTTTTAAAATACACTTTTAATAAAATAGCATAATGCTGATAACCACAGGTATCTACTTGTATATAACTCGTATTACGTGCTGATGATGATAATGCTAATACATTCATAAATTATTTCTTCAAAGATATGAGCATATGGTTTATCGATAAAGAGAAATTAGTGCGACAAATTATATTAACAATCAAATTTATATGTTGAAAAACTGAAACTACTGTTAAGCAGTTTTACTATGATTTAAGTTGTAATACGGAAATTGTAGCCATATTGAAAAGACATTCCTTTCAATGAATTATAATCGAAGAATTTTCATAAAGAATATTTTGTAAAGCCTTATAGGTATACAGAAAGAAGATTATCCACTTAATAGGCTGTATAAATGTATTGCAAGCAAAGAAAACAGAAAATAACCGAAACGAAAATTATTCTATTCTTATAGTTGCTATTATTGGAAGAAAAACCACTTTCCATAAAAGACTTTTCAAATTGTGGTGGGAAAATATTACTAAACATTACACAATACAATAAATTAACAATATTGTTGAGAAAATATCGACAACATCACCAATTTATGCGCAACAACAGCATAACAATGCAAACAACAATAACGACAAAAGAGTGTGAATAAATTAAATATCACGATAAACACTTTGATTAACCCCTCAAATCGTAGCAGCGGCAGCAACAACAACAACAACATCATCATCCACGTCAAAGCCATCATTACTACCCAACAAACTCGACGTAAATGGCATCAGCTCCACAATTGGCCAAGTTGATGTCTTTATTGAATTTGGGAATTGAACAGAGCGCGTGGTGCTCACTTGACTGCTTCACATTTGCCCAAACACAACCACAAATAAAAAGCAGCGCTGACGAAAATTGGAAAAAGAAACACTACGCATTTGTATGTGCATATGTGTGTGATAACAGAATAAGAAAAGGAAAACGTGTGAAGCATAAATAATAGCGTAAATTTCATTTGCATAGGAGAGTAATTGGGCAGTAAAGTCCATAATAACAAAGAGTTGAGCTAAGGCGAGAGTAAGTCAACTAACTGAAAACTCGAGCGCACACATACATATGTATGTATGTAGGTATGTACGAACATACAAACCCATAAAGTTGGATTTGGAAGAAGAAAAAGAACAAATCATTCAAAATTAAATATTAAGATGCATAATCATATCATATCACTAAGGTAATAATAGCAGATCAGATGATCATCACCAGCAAGGGAAAAGCACAAAACGTTCACAACTGGGAGTAATGAGCAATAATACCATGAGACCCTAATACCAATCATCTAAAATCAGAGATCAGAGATGCCTTTCAACTTTCAACATTACAAGAGCACTAACACTAACACTGGCCAACATGCAACATGCGCTGCACAGCGATCAACAATACGCACGCACACAAATATGTATGTATGTGAATGTGTGGTTCTGCAAGGTGAAAGAGGAAAAAAATTTGAAAAATTAATAAGCAATAAAATTGCCATGAAATTAATATTCCCATGAATCTCGTAAGTATCACGCTGTGCACATCAGCACAATGTGCCGCAACCAACAACACCGTCACATATTAAATGGGCAAAACAGAACATCGAAAATCCGACCAACTCACTTAACAACACACATGTACATAAGTATGTATGTGTGTGATCAGTCGCGCGGGCGAATGAGCTTGTTGGAAGTGAAAATCAGAAACCAAAAACCCAAAACCAACAAATAAGAAACAAAGAGGAAGGATGGCTGTGAAAATGAAGCGGCAGGCGAGAAACAATCACAGCTGGCCGGCAGGAGATGTTAACCATTGGCACTGCGCCTGCCACAATAAAAGTTTTGAACTACTTTATGACATTTTGAGCGCAGAGCGCAACACTTTCCCCACCGCCGCGAAGAAGCGGCAAGACATGTCAGCATGTGTTTTAATCAGTTCGGTTTCAAAGAAATACACACAAGCACATTGTGTGTGCACACGTACATATACTCGTATTCATATTTAAATTGTTAGGTGTCAGCAAACAAATCCAGTCATTGTGTGAAAGTCGTAAATAAAGGGATTACCGGA